GAGGCTCCTGACTACAGTAGCTGTAAGGCGGTGCAGCTACATAGTTTACCAAAGTCGTACTAAAGCATTTTTTGACAGATGTTTGAGCGCCGTGTACCACATAAAATCGGTTGGAGGTCTGTAAGCACAACCAGAATCCATACATAAGGCGCACCGGATTATAAAGCGCACTGTTGATTTTTGAGAAAATTAAAGGATTTTAACCCTGGAGAACCAATGGGGTCAAATTTGACCCCATTGGTTTCCCTAGAAAACCAATGGACCCCATTGGTTCTCCAGGGTTAAGTGCACCTCATAGTGCGGAAAATACGGTATTTGGTTTATACGTCATATGAGGCAGTTGTGTTTAATCTTATAAATGTCCTCAAGATGGGTTTTTTTTTTAATTCAAGTTACTCACATAGTAATGTGTGCTTTCTGGGGAATAGGCTTTCCAAAACTGGAGGAAAAAAGAAGAACTGTCTTCATTTGTTATAACAAAAGTTCAAGTTAATGTCCTCCAGCAACAAAGAAGTTTACTCAACTCTGTTAGAAACCAGCTTAGGCCCCTCTGATCCAAGTCCTGCATATCATCTTCCCCTTTACTCTTTCCTTTATAAAACAGACCACAGATTAGTTTAGCAACACATTATTCAACCTTCTTGCAAACGCTTTAACTGCAGATTAGAGTTGGTTTTATAACTACTCCCTTTTTCTTTCTTTTCTTTTTTTTTGTACCAGAGAGATCGATTCATAACAGGTACAAGGCAGGAATCGCACAGGAGCTACAATGACAGCCATTAAATTAAACATTGATCTACAAACATAGATTCTGCAGCTTGCTTGCAGGGATCGTTTTTAAAGTTTACCCACTGCTCGAGTCTTTATGCATTTGTGTAGTGTTCCCCGTGTTTAGTGTTTGGCTCGATCGCTGGCAAGACAAATTTGTCAGTTTGCAAAGTGAAGACTCGTAGCCCTCGCTGCACTTTAAGGTCACTGCTGAACACGGTTGTGAAAGCAGTCGGGTGACTGCAGATTAGATTTTCTCCAGTTTTGCCTCAAATGCCGCTGTTGCACTAATTATTTTGTGAGCGCGTGGCAGTAGAGGGAGTAGAGAGAAAGCGCTCTGTCCTTGGTTAAGGCAGTGAGCTGACAGCGAGTCATCAGTCACTGTCAAGTCTTGTGTATTTTCGCTGTCGCTTCAACTGAATAAAAGGGTCTGCCTCTGAAATTGGTGACATGGACGGAAGGAAGATGTGCGGACCAGGAGTGAGAGGGATGAGACTTTAGACTTTGAGAAATAAGATGTTTTGGGGCAGCTCACAGCAGGTGTGAAAAACAAATAAAAATGCGGATTGATGCCGAGGCCACCATTGTCATTCTTTTATGCAACCTCTTGTTTTTTTTAACAGCATGTGGGTAACAGTGATTTTGTTCCCAACTTTTAATCATGTTGTGATGGCCTGAGTCAGCGAGGATGGGAGTGCTGCATATTTTATAAGCTGTGTCTGCCAAATGGTGGCAACAGATGAGTCAACTGTACTTGTTGCATAATCTGATAACAGCCAGAAAAGTAACAACTTGGCGTCACATCTTAAAATCCATCAAGCTCTCATGCCTAAAATGACAAAATACATTATTCTTAATAGTTTAATAACAGGTTTCTTTGAGTTGCACATATAACTGTTTGATTATGGTTGGGGGAAACATCAACGTCAAGCTAAAACACTGGTTGATTGAAGCAGGAGGGCTTTAATGTCAGAGTTAGATGCTTTGTACGCACAACTGTCTGTCTCCGCTTCCTAAATGACAACCAATGCAGCAGAGACCACAAACAGTCAAGACAAGGTTGTTTTAAGCATAGAGAAGGATG